AAAAATGCTTCTGTTGAAAACAGTTTAGAGAGACTCTGCACATCTATATCTCCAAAGAATAAGAACCAGCAAGGCATGTACCCTTCACCCTTAAAGTACTGCCCGAGGCTTGATCCCTCAATGATCTTATGGCCAGCCATTGTAAATATTTTATCCAGCTTGTGTTTTTGACTATTTTTCTGTTTTCTTAATTGGCAGAATATTAAAATTTTAGATCTTTAAATCTAGCAATCAATTTAGTTTTTTGAGTTTAGGCTTTTCTTTTTCTCCCATAACCAGCAAATTTGCTTAAATTTTTGTTTCTCATGATTAATATTATTGTTTTTTTGGATTTAACTATCATTATTTTAGAATTACTTCAGAATTATTTATCAAACAAGTCTTTCCCTTCCTTATTCATTTGGAATGCCTCATTTATTACAGACTTAATTCTTATGTATTTGCAGTACTATGTTCTTTGCTTTATTAGAATTTCATAACATGTTAATACCTGGTAGGGCTAATCTCCCTTCTCTCATTACTCTTCCTTTTCAAAATGTGATTAACTCTTTTCATTTATCTTTTTGTTTTAAACCTAGAAATATTTCATCTAGTTTCAAAAGCAGCTCTTTGAAATTTTGATGTAATTGCTTTATATTTATAAATTTTAAGAGAACATTTTAATTCATTTCATCCACGAACAAGGAATATTTTACCATATATTCAAGTTGTTTATATGAATAACTCAGAATATTCTTGTTTGTCCATTTGTTTAAAAAGGCTACTTTACCTAAACTGTCTTTCATAGCATCTTACATTCCCACCCACAATGTATGAGGATCCCAATTTCTCTACATCCTCGTCAACATTTGTTATTTTCTGGTTTTTTGTTTGTTTTTTGAATTATAGCCATCCTCATGGGTATGAAGTGGTATCTCATGTGGTTTCAATTTTCATTTCCCTAATGAGTCATGATGTTGAGCATATTTTCATGTGCTTATTGGCCATTGGTATATCTTCTTTGAAGAAGTATTTATTCAAATCTTTTGCCCATTTTAATTGAGTTATTTGCCTTTTTATTATTTATATGTGTTTTTTGTATATTATAGATACAAGTCCTTTTTCAGTTACATCATTTATAAATATTTCCTCCCATTCTGTGGGTTGTGTTTTCACTTCTTTGATAGTGTCCTGGGGCATAGAAAAGTTTTTAATTTTGATGAAATCTAATACATTTTTTCTTTTGATACTTTTTAGTGTCATAGCTAATAAACTGTAACCTAATAAAGATACTATAATTTTATGTTGTCTGCTGCTAATTTTTTTCTTTTTTTAACTGGCTATTGCTGATATGCCAAGGAGTGATTGCTTTTTCCATTTGGTATCTATCTGGATTTATTGAAATTACTTATGAAGTCTGGTAACTTTTTGATTATCATGAATTTTCTAGGTGGAACAGAAAACTTCTTTTCACTTTATATTTTATATTATTGGCTGAAGAAACTCCTAGAAAAAATCCTTAATATTACTGGGGATTATGAATATTTATCTCTTTCAGATTTTAATGTATGTACTGCCTAATTGAGTTTCTTTAGCAAGAAAATGGCTATTCATTTTAGGTAGATTGATATTTTTGCATATAAATGAAATGCTTTTACATCTAGTTTTTTACAAGATTTAAAACTAGGAAGGGGGATGACTTTGATTAAAATGACTTCTAGCAGCTGTTGGGATAAATATTTGTGGTTGTTTTGGATTTCTTGATATAATATTTCATATGAAAAGATTCCCAATTATTACATTCCATTTATTTCAAGAAGATAGTTTCAAAGTTAAAACTCAGTGAACCCTAGCGTACATAACACTTTATTAAATCTCTTGTGTACAGATCATATCATGTATTAAAAAAATTTTACTGAAATATTTCCTTTTGCTTTTATTAAATAGATTCTCAATCATGTTATAAATCTAGAAAATAAAGGTTTAAAAATTTTTTAATATTAAGGCTGAGTTTTCCCCACCCTTTATTTGTTGCCTTGGGCTCGGAAATGAATAGTTTGGAAAGATTTTTCTCTTTTCAATTATATTTGGAAATTTTACTGTCTCACAAAATGACTTGCTAATGTTTTTCTTTCACATAGCTTATTCCTTCTCATACTGGTTTCAGGAAATTATCTGTGGCCAACACTGTATTGTTATTTTTGTTAGCATATGACTCACATCTTTCTGTCTTCCTTCCTTTTAGTTTTAAACAAGCTTAAAAGAATAGGCCAACAGACTGAGTCCATGTAGCAATGATAACAATAAAAAAATGTAAACATTGAGATTGAACCAATAATTGTGTATGTCGTACAAATGAATTCTATGTAATCACAGTGTAATTTGTGAGTTATCAGAGACTTAGATAATGTTATCTTTTAAGTTGACATTTGCAGGCTGAGGTTGGTAATACTATCATTCTAGGGGAAGCCCACATTAGTCAAATTTTTTCCTTAGAGTTCAGCTTTTATGTTCCTTGATTAGCATTTTATATGAATTCAGTACAAGTGAATGAGATGAAGAAAGGCAATACATGCTTTATTCTATTCACTAGATAGTATATCTGGATAACCTGAAGACAGATATATCTTTACAGAGTACAAAATGCTTCCCCTTAATGCTGACATTTGTATCATTTAGACACGAACCAAACATCTGAAAGACCCAGGGAACATGAGTAAATGAAATACACAAATAACTGGCATTGAACATAATTTTGATTAAATCCATTAAAACTCTAGGCTATTAAATAGGAGAATCTGAATAGTTACTAAAACTGAGAAATCAATCACATTATGAGAAAAAAGTAACATTCTTTTTTTTTTTTTTAACTGAATTAAAGTTTATAGTTTGAAAACAACAACTTCAGGGATGCTGTGTCATCCAATGGAAAAAGTAAGGAAAGAAGATGTGGTTTTGAATCCCCTGTGCTATTTATTTGTGTGGTTGAACAAATTCATCTCATTTATCTTTAGTTTTCTTCTTGGTAGAACAGAGATAATAACCATTTCATAGAATTGCTTTAATTATTTCATGAGTCTCTGTGTGTATATATACACACATATATGTGTCTGTGTGTGTATATGTATTCTCTAGTCCTTTGCGACTCAAAGAAGTTCCAGGCTGTTAGCATGGGCATCACCTGTGACCTTGTTAGAAATAATCTCAGATCCACTTAGACTTACTGAATTAGAATCTGCATTTTAGCACGACTTCCCAGGAGATTAAGTCTAAGCAGCACTGCCCAGTCTAGCACCATGCCTAGCACAGGGTAGTGTTCTGTTAATGTAGTTTTCTTCCTTTCAAATGAGATGTTTTAACTCATGAACCTGCCTCCCTTGACATTAAAAACAACAACAACAACAAACCCAGCAACAACCCAACAATAACTGCTATAACTACAAGATATGGGATTGGCATATTCTCTCATCTGATCTTACTGCTGGTAGTCTTTCTAAACAGAATATATATTTGAAATTTCTTCTTTTCCATTATTTATGCCTACTTCTTAAAAAATAATGTTAAAATTGAATTTTGAACAAGACACCAAGATAACATAGACATATATTTCAAACGGCAGATCACAAATGCAGAATTCGTCAGTGCAACAATTCTTGGACCCTTCACCAGTTAGGGGATATAAGACTGAGTCAGAGTATGGAGTGGATGAAGATGGATCTGGGGCAGAAAATATCTTTGCAGAAATCTGCTGTGAGCCGTCCCTCTTGGGAGGCAGGGAGTCTACTCCCTGTCATCAAATCTAATAATAAAGAGGCTTCCAAAGGTACTTGGGAAGCTTAACATATGACTCCTATGTTGACTCCTATTATGTGGTCTGGTTCCCACTGGATATATTTAAAGGGCAAAAAAAAAAAAAAAAAAAATTGCTAGCTGTGGAGCCAGTAGAAGATGCAACGTTGGGATTTGCCTGTACTTGTATAGTTTGCTGGGACAAGGGATATTTAAGTATTTGCCATGGATCCAGAGTTATACTGAAAAAACTGATTCTAAAAAAAAAACAAAGTCCATAAAACAATCCTCCTCCTATTCCTAATTTGTAGTATTTGTTGATTTCTGTGCTATAAATATGGCCTTGTGAGAGATCAAAAGAGGAGAAATATAAATTTCTTAATTATGCCTGGCAAACTTGACCCTTTAACTCGGAACATGTTACAGGGAAAAAGAATATTTGAAAACCTCTTTTCATGTTGTATTCTTGAAAACGGCAACTATAGATATAATTTAGAAATTAATACTTTTTAGGTTTATAAATGATAATAGTTCATTTGATTGGTAATTAGTTATATTAATAACATATCCTCCAAATGAGCAAGGAAGTTTCAGGTTAATCATAGTGGAAAGTAAAGTCTAGGTAAAAAGTCAATTTATAAAAATATCCTCTAAACATATTTAACAATATTTGGTTTTAGAGATTTAGTATTTTATTACATTTTCATTTTTAATGTTATTACATAACAAAATGAGGAATTTCTCAAAAGTATGATAGGTCAAGTTGCTTTCACATTAGTACCAAGATCTGTGCTAAGCCTTCCATTCATAGTAGGTGCTTAATGATGTTCGATAATAGTCTCTTACCTGTTCTATAATAAGAGACTGGGAATATAATAAAACTTGGTATTGGCTGGCACCCAGGTTTAGGGAAAACGGACAATAACTCTATAAGAGACCAGGAGAGAATTTGTTGCTTCTTCAGAGAAGAGAAGTGAGATAACATACAGAATGAACCATGGAGAGAGAACTCTACAAGATAAAGAGCGCTGAGATTACATACAGTTGAAAGGACAGTGACAATTCTGGTGGTGGTGAAACTAAATGAAATTGTAAGATAGATGACACCTATTTAATTTCAAGTTGATTTTGTGACGGGAGCATAAAACCTTTCTGTTCTCCATTCCAGGAATCATGTAGCAAAGTCTACTGTGCCTTCAAGTTCTTACTGTGTTTCCTTATTTGTTTTGTAGAAATCAAAGAAGATTCATTTTAAGTTTGGGTTGAATAAGAAGTGCAATAGCAAGTAAGAAATCAGAATTCTACATTAAGAAGCCACAATGATGATCTTCACTCTCCTTCCCCATGCTTTATGAATTTGTAGAGACATGAGGAGGATTTTACAATTTCAAAATCCACAACCTTGTTTGGAGATAAAGTGGTAAGTGAAATTAATGGATGTTGTGTAACTGACATTTGAGTTATGGGAAAATCTCCTCTATTGCCTACATTTATATTTTGGTTTGAGTTTTGACAGTTCTTCCTTTTGAAGAAGACATCTAACAGACTTATAAATCCCATGCATACATTATAACAGTCTTTTTTCCTTAAATATTTTTGAGGTCAAAGCATTAGGAATTAGGAAATAGTTTTCCTGGGAAAAGCTAAGCCCAAATAACATCTTGATTCATCAACTTGAATGGGAAAATTTTTGAGCAACAATTTAATGGCAATGAATAATTATAATCAGCTGTCCATATTACTAAGTATGGGAAAGTGCCTGACATCTGGGTCTGTACTTCACAACATCAAGATCTTCACACACAAAAAATTGGGAATTGGTGAGCCAGAAAAATCCAGCATTAATGTGCATATCCAACAAAATTAAATTATCCTAATATATGAAAACATTCATTGTGAAGGAAAAAATAAAGACAGACTTTTCTTTGGGTAAGCTTCTCAATATTCTAAAGCTAAAAATTAACATTCTGTGTTAAGTCTGCTTCTTTTCTATCTTCCTCTCAATCTTTTTTGTCAAAGATCGTTGTCTGCACTTTCTTCACTTTTGCATAGTCATTGTCATCCAGTAGAAGTCAAAAGAAATAAGTTGATTGGAAACAAGGTATGGATAATTGGGTTTCTCAGGTGTTCAGCAACCATGCTTGCAGAAGAATAATAGATTGAATGCTTATGTACACGTATGTATACTAAAGAAAAAAGTCTCAAACTATTATACAAAATTTTAAAAGATGCTAAACTCCACTCCACATGGAAGAAGATAAAAATAGCACATAAAAGAGAAACAGAACAGTAAGTTACTTTGAAATTTAGGGTAATATTACCCTTGAACTATTTTAATTTGGTTCTCAGGAAATCAGACTTGAATCAAAGATACCACAATACTGTATAAGTTTTGAGTAAGCCAAAAATCAACTTGTGCTGATCACCTCTTCTTTATTCTGTTTTGTTGTATTTATATATATATATATATGAAATTGCAATCAATAATTTTCTTTTGAACAAAAGCTAGTTAAATTTTAACATTAATGTTTTGACTCTGGAAAATTTTTAATTAAAAAATTGAGTAAATTTAAAATTTTTTTTTAGACTCTACTTTTTTGTATTTCAATATTTTTTCAGTTAATACAATAAGCGAAATTAAAATCAATAAGGATATAGAAAAATTGATTAACACTAATAGCCAACTTGAGCATTCCACCAGACAAGAGCAGACTATGTATACCCTTTAAAAAGGACTTGATTTTTTAGACCAGTTTTAGGTTCATAGCAAAGAAGAGGGGGAGGTATCCCATATGCTTCCTTCCCTAAATCTGCACAGCACTCCCATTCTTAACATCCCCTACCAGAGTGATACATTTGCTACAATTGATGAACTTACAGTGACACATCACTATTGCCCAAAGTTAGTAGTTTACATTATAGTTCTGTCTCAGTGTACATTATATGGGGCCTGGGCACATGTATAGTGACGTGTATCCACAATCACAGTAACATCCAGAGTGTTTTCACTGCCCTGAAAATCCTCTGTACTCTGCCTATTCATACCCCTCATTCACCTCTAATCTCTGGCAACCTGATCTTTTCATTAACTCCATAGTTTGGCCTTTGATATATAGTTACAGTCATACAGTAAATAGCCTTTTCAGTTTGCATTCTTTCACTTGGTAATAGGCTTTTAAGTTTCCTGTGTGTCTTTTCATGGCTCAATAGCTCATTTATTTTTAGCTCTGAATAATATTCCATTGTCTAGTTAATCCATGCATCTACTAAAAGACATTTTAGTTGCTTCCAAGTTTCAGTGATTATGAATAAAGTTGCTATCAACCTCTGTGTAGAAGTTTTTGTGTCAGCATAAGCTATCAACTCTGTTGAGTAGATACCAAGGAGCATGACTACTGGATCATATGGTAAGAGTATGTTTAGTTTCCCAAGAAACTGCTAAACTCTCTTCCAAAGTGATTATACAGTTTGCATTCCCACCAGCAATGAATGAAAGTTCCTGTTGCTCCACATGCTCATCACCATTTGGTGTTGTCAGTATACTGGATTTGGGCCATCCTAGTCAGTATATAGTAGTATCTCATTGTTTTGTATTTACCTGATGATGTATAATGTGGAACATCTTTTCATATGCTTATTTGCCATCTGAATGTCATCTTTGGTGAGTTATCTCCCTAAGGTCTTTGGTCCATCTTTTAATTGGGTGGTTTTCTTATGTTCTAAGAGATTTTTGCATATTTTGGATAACAACACTTTGCTAGATGTATCTTTTGCAAATATTGTCTCCCAGTCTGTGGCTTGTCTTCTCATTCTCTTGACAGTGCCTTTTGCAGAGCACAAATTTTTAATTTTAATGAAGTCTAGCTTATTAATTCCTTCATGGATTGTACGTTTGGTGTCATATCTAACAAGGCATCACCAAACCCTAGGTGATCTGTATTTTTTGTATGTTATTTTCTAGAGATTTTATGGTTTTATGTTTTACATTTAGGTCTGTGGTCCATTTTAAGTCAGTTTTTGTGAAGGGTATAAGGTTTATGTCTAGATTCACATTTTGTTTTTACATGTGGATGTCCAGTTATTCCAACACCATTTTTTAAAAAAGACTATTTTTTGTATTGTCTGTCTTCCTTTGCCAAAGATAAGTTGACCATATTTATGTGGGTCTATTTTAGGGCTCTCTATTCTGTTTCATTGATCTATTTGTTCTTCCACTTCTACATTGTCTTGATTATTGTAGCTTCATAGTAAGTTTTAAAGTTGGGTAGTATTTGTCCTCCAATTTTGTTCTTCTCCTTTAATATTGTGTTGGGTGTTCTGAGTCTTTTGCCTCTCCATATGATCTTTAGAATCAGTTTGCTGACATCCACAAAACAACCTGCTAGGATTTTGATTGGGATAGCATTGAATTCGTAGATCAAGTTGGGAAGAACAGACATCTTGACAATATTGAATCTTTCCATCTATGAGTGTTCAATATCTCTTCATTTATTTAGTTCTTTGATTTTGTTCATCAGTTGGGTAGTTTTCCTCATATAGATATTGTACATCTTTTCTTAGATTTATATCTAAATATTTAATTTTTTTGCTGACAGTGTAAATGGCATTGTTTTTAATTTCAAATTCCACTAATTCATTGCTGGCATATAGGAAAGCAGTTGGCTTCTATATAATAATCTTATATCTTGCAACCCCCGATTTGCTTATTAATTTCAGGAGGATTTTTGTCAATTTTTTTTTTTTAATTTTCTACATGGACAATCATGTTATCTGTGAACAAAGACAAGTTTTATTTCTTACTTCCCAATCGATATATATTTTATTTCCTTTTCTTCTTTTACTGCATTAGTTAAGACTTCCAGTATGGTATTAAAAAGGAGTGGTGAGAGAAGAGAGGACATCTTGATTTGTCCCTGATTTTAGTGGGATAGCTTTTAGTTTATTATCATTAAGTATGATATTAGCTGTAAGTTTTTGGTAAATATTCATCAAGTTGAGAAAACTCCCTGTGCTGCTACTTTATTGAGAGTTTTTATTATGAAAGGGTGCTGGATTTTCTCAAATGCTTTTCCTGCATCTATTGATAACCATATGCTTTTCAGGTACCCATGGAACATTTACCAAGACAGACTGTGTATTGGGCTATGAAATGTGCCCTAACATATACATGATTTAAAATCATGCAGTTCTCTGATAACTAAACTGGAAAAAAAATAGCCAAAAGATATCCGAAATATCTGGAAATTAAACAATAACTTTCATTTAAAAAATCAAGGTCACTGAAAAATCACTAACTGGAATAGAAAATATATAAAATGAAATGACACCTAAAATATACCATGCCAAAACTCATGGGATGCAGCTAAAGCCATGCTTAGACTAAATTTTATAGTATTAATTGCTTATTAGACTAGAAGGTAGTATAAAATAAACTAAACCCTTATTTTAATAGGCTAAAAAAAAGAAGTGCTAATTAAACCCAAAATAAATAAAAGAAAAAAAATAAAGTTCAAAATCAACTAATTTGAAATAAATGATGAAACACAGACATATTCTTTGAAAAGATAAAAAAAATTTAAAATACCTAGAAATATTTATGAAGGAAAATGAGAAAAGATACAAACTAATATCTGAAATGGAATCACTACAAATCCTACAGAAATATAGGATGAGAAGTCAGCAATTCCTTTTATATCATAATCAAAGACATAAAATACATAGACCAATATTCCTTATGAATACAGGCACAAACACTCTTAACAAAGGTTTGAGCAATATGTAGATAAGACATCATGACCAAGTTGGATTTATTTCAGAAATGCAAGATTGGGTTCACATTTAAAAATCAGTCAATTTATTGAATTAAAATGAAGGTGAGAAAAACCCCCATTAAAATCACCCCAGTAGATATGTAAAAACATGTAAAATTTAGCACCCATTTATTGTAAAAACTACCAGCAAACTAGGAATTGAAGGTAACTTCATCTACCTGATAAAGACTTCTATAGGTAACACCATTTTCAAAGGTGAAGGGTTAAATGCCCCCACCTCTAAGATCAGGAACAAGGCCAAGAAGCTAATTCTTGCTATTTCTATTCAACCTTTCACTGACGGTCTTACCCAAGGCAATTGGGTAAAACAAGGAACAGTACTTCAGATTGAAAAGAAGGATGATGAACTGTTATTTGTAAATAATATAACCAACTATGTAGGAAATCCAATGAAATAGACAAAAAGGCTATTAAAACTAATAAATGAGTTTAGTTACCTGTGAGGAACAGTGGCAATTTATCAGAACTGGGATTTAAAAATAGAAATAACAGAATCTAGATTATTTGGAGGCTTGGTCTCTGGTCACTAATTCTCATTCTTCATTTGAGTATCTAATTTTGTTTATACCATATCCCATGTACATATGAC